GAAAACAAAGAGAGAACGATTCAGCATTTTTCCGAACTAGAGGCATGGGTCGGGATAAATCGATCAAAGGAATCCCCTCTATCAATGCTGTGGCTGGTTCTGTAACAGAGGTGTTGCTACGCTAATGACTCCAAACCAAGAGGTATTGACGCTCTCGCCCAGAACTGGGAACTACGTGGGCATCGAGCTCCCAGGTGCTGCGTGGCTGGCATAGGTCAGTTGACCCATTGCGGACCGCCGTTATCTGTTCGCCTCATTGGTTTTTTTCTTTCTGAACTAAACAAAATGCTGAATAAGTCGAATATTACTACCATTTTTCTGCGTGGTGCACATGGTGCAGCACGCGGTCCAGTGGGTTAACCAGCTGTGATAATTGTCGTGTAAGCTGCTGGAACGGAACCAGCAATGACTGGTATGTCCACTAAATCCTCCCAAGCTAGCCTAATTCGCTGCAGGTGTAGAGGGGAGAGATTATTTTCGCCGTTCTCAACGGCTTCTTCCCGCTTTCTCTTTGCTGGCGTTCCATTTCGCATAACTGCACTCACTTTCAAACGCAACAAAATCACTACCGTACTCGATTGTGACCTATTTGACCATTTAATAGTACAACTAAACTTAGAAAGTCCAATAGGATCAGAGCATTCCAAAAATCATCCGGGAACCTACTTCGATCAGTGAAAAGTTATCGTCAAAATTCCTTCGGCAGCGCCAAACTGCACCCTCAAAATCAGCCCGCCTTGGTCCCTTAAAGCTGGCTCTCTGTCTCAAGAATAACGAAATGTACGGGAACTGAACATTTCAGCCCTTTATGAGGCAATAATAGCTAGAGAATTCGACCATAATGTCACCAATTTCATGGGGAGATACCAGTACTGGCGAAATATTCACAGGTTGAAAAAAAAACGGAATGTGCCCGAAACAAGAAAGAAGTGCCCAATTGAAAGGGTTTTTTCAGGCGTAAAAGGTTACAGTAACTCAGTTCTGGGGAACAAGGAAACAAACGAAGTCATCAAGAATGAAAGATCTTACGGTTTAGCCGAACCCCACAGTTAGCTTTTCACCAGCAATTACAAGTTCTGGTATTTCTTTGTTAGGAGTACTCTTTATCGCTGTCCGTCAAATTCCATGACCCTGCCATGTACAATGATTTATCTTTCTGCATGGATAATAGAGTGCTGTTACACGAACTATACGAGCGGCTTCTCCATTTGTAGAAGATCCACCTTTTCCTCCACAAGAGAGTTTGCGATGAACGGGTAGCCTATAGTGGGTAAGGCGCTGTTAGGGCACTCTTGGCCCACTCTTCCTCGGCAAAGTTTCGTCCCGCATCTTTACGAGGCTTGCCCTAGTTTTCGTCTACGTGATTCCCCTTCTTCGAACTCCGACCTTATCGTGGAATCTCCCTTTTGCATTCTTTATCCCCTCGACCATTGAACAGACGATAACATAACAGTCTACGCACAATCTTCTAACCACCTCACTCAAGATAGCGTTCAGTTTAACGAATTATTAGGTGCGTTGTGAGCTTAACCTCTACAGAGATTTTGTTCTGAGGTAGTGTTGGAGTGTTGGAAAAACGCAGAGCTGGTAGATAAAAATGGAGATTTCGGTGGGCAAAGGGGGCTATATTCCAAACTGCCTTTGCTGGATAATTTGCAGCTGTTGCAAAAACTTCTAGAAATTCCAACCTTCAGGCCCCGGTCAAGGTTAGTAGAATGGAAGATCCAGTTGAGGTCGTTTTTATGAGGTCGGGTCGAGAAGAGTTCGCTTGAACTTTCTTATTACAAATTCTACAGAAAAAGCATAAGATGGGCAGATTTAGCATTTTTTTTGTGTTTAGTTTTCGGCCACTACGCTCTCCGTCTTCGCCGTTCGCCGCCATTTGAAGGCATATGGGCGTTGAAAATTTGATGTGTCGATTGGTTGATGGGAAAGAGGAGGTTGAGGATACTAGGCGGAATTGAGGAACTCTAGCGTCTGGAGTGCTCCTAGACTGGGTGCGTATTTGGAAGGTGAATGAGGCGAAGTTTGAATTCACAACGGTGGTTGCCATCCTCATGTTTAGGACTGCAGATGGCCATTAGGTCACAGCTGAAATTGCTTTCCGATAGTTCTACAACATTTTAATGGACCTACTGATAATAACGGCTGACGAATGCAACGAGGAATTAGCTACATGAATTGGGATTGAAAAAGTCATAAATTTCAAGTTTAGAGAGCACTGTCTGGTCTGAAGGCTCTGAGGCGCTAGGGGGTAGCTGAGAAGTAGCTTTCTTTCGAAACGAAGGAGGAGGAGCAGAAAAACATGATGACCAATGAGCAAGACGAAAAGGCGAAACGTGAGTGCATATAAAGACTTTGCAAAAGTGCTCTTCTAAATCTTCTCGATATTTTTGAAAGAAAATGAGAAAAGAATCATGGATGACTAAAAGAAAGTACCAAAAGCTAGCGGGAAGCAGTACTGCGATCCCAGGCAGCTTACTCGACCGCGGAGAATTGGCGTCAGAATAATGGCGAACAGCGAGCCGCCATTGATTGCGAGATAAACAGAAAACTTTGCATAATTTGGCGCCCGGAGATTGCCTGCTTGTTGCTTTCTGAGAATTCTTGAAAATTGAACTCCTTGTTAAACGGCATAGGGATAATAATGTAGGCGCATTGAGGTCCATATTCCTAGATTCTAGCACAAAGCATGACACTGTCATGTTTGTATAGCAACCAGGTAGCTCAAGCGACACAAACTAGGTCCGCAAAAGTCCGAATTAACGTCCGAGACTCGTCTGGATATCGAAACCATACTAATGTAACGTAGGTGAATGATCACCTAGTTATGTAAGAGGACTCACCTAATCCCATATGTTGGTACTGCTCCAAAAGAGAGTAAGACATGGCCAAGTACGTAGATGGATGAACCGTAGAGTATCACCTGAATGTGAACGGTTAAAGGCAGAACTTTTGGTAGCGGGAGGATGGGAGAGGTTTTACCTTGAATCTGCCGAGATAGGAGTCAGCGAGTAATGAACCAAGAAGAGGAGATAAATATGCGAGACAGGTGAACGCATGGTAGATCAAAGTGGCAAAGCTGAAAATCACCAGCGTCATCACAACCTGCCTTCTTTCCATTTTTATCACCCATCATGGCCCTATTTTTTAGTTAATGGGTTTTCATCGTTCTTCGCAGGGCTTATTCCCCTCAAGGATGACTTTATTCAATTCAGACTCTGCGGATTCTATTTATTTATTTGTTTGTTTATTGGTCAATTATAGAAGGAAGTACGGTTTAGTTGAATGTCTACACGATCACGAGTCAGAAGGGTAGATGGCCAAAACGGTTGATCATTTAGGCTCAGCTTTCGCACCATTGGATGCGTCTGAAGGTCTAGAAAAGGGGTGAAGGACCGACTGGTACTGCACCCGAGCAAAAGCCTCATCCTGGCTCCCTCTCGCCAATTTGGTGTTGCCCGGAGTCCCAAGTGAGAGCAGCAGCCAGAGGCGTCGCATTTGCTTGCATGCTCCACGAGGTGGAGACCCGCTCGAGTCGTAGAAGCCATCCAAAGGTCTCCGCTCGATTAGTGGTCACGCATTACGTTCATGAGTAGACGCCCACTGTTTTTTATACTACCGTACTTTACCGATACTCACTGCAGCGTCGGCCTATACAGCGCTACAGATGACTGTATTGCATAGGACAAATGCTTACTTTTTAGGGATAGCCCCCGATAAGTTCAGGTGGATCAATCCCTCTGTGGGTAGTATAGCGCTGTCTTTTCAACCCACGTATGTCCTCTTGTCCTGGCTAGAAAGCGCTAAGTCAGGGCGCCAGAGCCCTCTCAAAAACCGCTTTGACCGTTGCCATTCTTCCTTGTTCACAATATGCGGATGTCTGCACCCTCTCATCCCTTGTACTCTCTCCTATCGTCTCTTCTTCGCGCTCAGTATCTCACCGCCTTAGCACAGCCGAATAACAAAAAAGAGCAAGCTTTCAATTTTAGCGTTTCTGACGGGCTCTTTTCCTTTTTTCTTCATTGCCGGTCCACTTTATATCCCTGTTTTAATATTCGTGTGTAAGAATCACAATAGTAGCCTACTGCGCATTACGGAGTTCGAGACAAGGGGGTCGTATTTTTGGGTGATGGAGGTCAAAAGAAGGCCAAAGGGTAGAGAAGGGGCGTATTCTTGGAAGATGAAGAGGTCGCAGCGGTAGCACAGGGGTCGTATATCCCCCCCACTAGACGGTTGTTTCCAAGGAAAAACCAAAAGCGGGCAGAGTCGGTCCGGAAGTGTGCGAACTGCTCTCAAAATCAAATATTGTAGAAACAGCCATGATGGAGAGGATGGTGGTGAGGGATAGGGAGTAGGAGGTCGTATCGAAGCTCCTATAAGAGGGTCCTCAAATTTGCGAAACCTGCGCACAGTTCAATGGTGACGTGTGCCTTTAAGTCCTCTACCAAGTGAAGGGAAGTCAAATATGTGGCGCATTAAAAATAGAGTAATCAACGCCGAGCAATTGATCCTTGACGTTGACCTTCATAGCTGGAACACGCACTTATCCTGTGATTCAGCTGAGTAAAGTGTTAGTCAACAGTGTGAGTGATTGAATCGTCATTCTTTGGTAGCTGTTCGTCTCGCAAACCGGTACCAACAGCAAGAAACATTTTTGAGATTGACAGACATCAACAGTGACTAGTCGGCTGCAGTCTTCTTTGAGAAATTACGGGCGTCTCGAACAACTTACTGTATGAGAATTATTTCTCATTACATCAAGGTCGTAGTGCTACGAATTGCAAGACGTGCGGTCTCGCCGTAGTGGGTATTCCCTAGTAAAACCGTGTCTCCATTGGTGACTGCCAGTTTCAAAATATGCTAAAGAAGATACCCTTACTTTTCCTTTAGGTATGACCTGGTGAACTTTCTTCGGCACTATTCACCCTTTGCAGCACCACTTCTAAAAAGTGAGCCGGATTTCAGTTGAAATTCGCCCGTGACTGTGAATTTGGCTAGAAAGTTGTTGCCGGGGGTACTAACATCCGTAAAACACGAATATCAGTTACCAGCATCAAAATAGGGCGAAAATGCCTGGCATACCACAGGAGCCGGCGCTATCGCAGTAGATTTGGTCCGACACCTGTGGTGCAGTCTGCGAGCTCATTCACAACGAACTGATTTTTTCTTGCCTTGTGCCAGTTATTCTTGCCTTACGGGCCTACCTACCCTTGGTGACAACATTCCAATGAACTTTGTGACCCATGTTCGGACGCTTTTTGGCGCGGGTGCCAGGCGTTCTCGCGCTAAATGAATGTGATATCGGGCTGTTCTAGGATCGGAATACCTCCGGAGATAAGTTACTAACCAAATCGCAGACCTATTTCGATAAAGATAAGGCTCAATTCCCAAGAACTGGAAAGTAAAGGGTAATTAGCGTGTTTCTACTGCTTCTAAATACAGTGAGGGGCATGGAATGCAATCGGACAAGAACAGACAAAGGCATGCGCTTCAACAAATCCATAAAGGAGCATCCGATTTCTACATGCGGTGGTTATCTGGCCTACAAAAGGCTGCTGTGTGACGCAGGAACAGGGGAGATTGGGGGGCGGTGGTCATGGCGGTGATGCTCGAGCCTACGGCAACTGACTAAATGGGACACTCGCTAACACGGGTGATATGACCAAGTTAAAGCCACTTGGGGATTATAAAGGTAAGTACTGCCTCAGCTTCACGAACTATGGTCACCCTTGAAAGGAGGTCTCTCTTCGAAATGTGTTAAAAGCTCAGAGATATGCGAATGCCGATCGCTGATCATAACAAAATTGTTGGGAAAGATTTCCACAGAAGATTGTTTTTTAGCAATGGAGAAGATAAGGCAATGAGAAACTGAGAGTTTCAAGCCTTTCCATCGTTTGACCAGGGATTGATTCTCATGCAATTTAGTGAAACCTGATTTTGGTTCCATGAAAAAAGGATAAAGCATTTGCCGTTGATCAATCCCTGTTTTGGGATGCGGCACGCATTCTACTTCCATTTGTACATTCGCAGTGGCATTTGAATGCGATGTGGCCTATACAATGACTTGCGGGGGCCAGCCGATGTTCAAGTCAGTGTACCAATAACCGACCCCGGAGGGATGGAAGGCTTGGTTGGCCGGGCGACTCACGACCCAGGATTTGATCCCCGGACCGCTCGCGTGGTAAGCGCGCCACTTGCCACTACACCACTTCCGCACTTTTCAGAATAGAGGCCAAGGATTTCTTTGATTCATCGTGGTGTATTTTAGGAGC